TGCCATCTCTTGTTCTGAAGTCAAACCCCACTTGTCTGCTTAGTTCATACTGCTTGAGTTCGGGATGCGTATTGAAAAGGAACTTCACCTTAACAATCAATATCGTATTCGATAGTGTGGATAAAAGTTTGTTCTAAGGTTACAGATTTCGGCTCGGTCCTGTACACGTATATATCATATGGCCTGTTAGCTGATGAGTAGGTTATCAACCATGTTGACATATCTAAAAATGAGTCTGAGAATAGTCAAAAGCCTTTGAATAGTCGAACCGTTGCTATAACCCATAATTTGTAGTGAATCATATGGTCGAAAGTTTACTAGGTATTGTGCATGTTCTGCAAACTTGTCATTCCCGACAAATAACTCAGGATGGTGGTATGTCTGAAAAAAAATGTCTTATTCCGGGCGAACTCATTATAGTTAAGGGCAGTGTCCGCGCAAAAAGTCGATATTGAGATTTTTGCTTACCTGGGCCACTCGCTACGTGAAATCGAAAATCATACCGGAGTGCGCGAAAATGGTGAAAAAGGGCTCTAACGCAGAAGAAAAATCGCAGGTGGGCGGCGCCGTTCGCACTGTGAGTCATTCTCCTAGCTTTAGGGGCAATCTTCTCGGTTTCGACTTTATGTCACGCGTTTCGCAGTTGGGTTTTGGTGATACTAGGGCGGCTAACGGAAGCGAAAAGATCGCACATGAAGCTGGGAGAGTGGCGTCAAAGTGTGAACAACCCCGCCCACGCGCGATTTCCCTCCTTCCTTAGAGCCCTTTTTCGCCCTTTTCGCGCTTTCCAGCGTGGGTTTTCGCATTCAGCATAGCGAATATGTTCGGGTAAGCACGAACGAAACTGACTTTTTGCATGGACACTTCCTCTAAACTTCAGAACACTTTTTCAACCGAATTTGAAGAGTAATCAAGAGTAAATTTACTGAAGGAAATCTCAATCAATCTAAAAAGTGCGACCTGAATGATAATCTCAGGTCGCACTTTTTACTCTAAGTTTAGGGTGGTCGTTTATCTTTCAAAATCAATTACCTACCTCCGTAAGTGCAAACACTGTCTTGTCCGTAGGATGAACAAAAATATCATCTATCTGCGCTCTAGCTGCATTGTATAAAACCTCTCGGTGTTCGGGATCGTCAAGTTTGAACTTGACAAGAGTTCCTGAATTTTTTATGTAACAATCATCATTGGCAGCTGCTGGTTAACTTGCCAAGGTCAGTGTTTTCGTCTCCCCAGAGCCAATACATATACTCATTCCTCTTATCAAATGTTATAGGCCTGAACGACGGCATAAAAAGTCCTTTTAACAATAGTGTATTTCCTACCGCGTAATTGCCCTATCTTCTGATTTGATAACGAGATATGGCTCCCACTCTGATGCGTTTGAATTGTATGGTAACTCACTCTTGGCTGTTGGTGACCGCCTAAATGAAATAATGATAAGGAAAATTAGCATCATTATTTCATCATTTAGATGTGGTCTATAAATTACAGGATACAGAGGTGCTTGAAGAGCTGCATCTGGAGGGGGAAGGGGATGAGCGTAGTGTATTGAATAAATGAACAAGCGTTAGTTAACGCTTCTTAAGAAATTTTTGGGATGCATTTTGAATTTTGACTGTTCATAACCTTTGAACTTAAAAAAACATGGATGTGTTACCAGCCGGGCCCTTAGAGGATTTTTCGTGAGCTAATTTAAGTGCAAATTTTGCCTTCTCTTCACTGATTTTGCTAGATATTTTTTCTCTCCAATGTCCGCTATGATGCAGACACATCAGATGAAAAGAATGAGGATAGAGAATAGTTTTCAGAACCGTGACCTTTTCAGAACAAGCTCTAATAATTGCTTCAAAAATGTAACTGATTATGGACAAGATGCAATCTCGCATTCATTCTCCACCGACAACTTCTTTTTCATATCTTTCGACCATCAGCTCTGCTACGGTGGCACAAGGTAAAAGCCCACCTGAGGTACATAAGTGAACCGTCCGGCTGCTCTTGTACGGCAAGACGAACGTTCATATCATGGTCAAAGAGGAAGTGTCCAAATCTATCGTTTTTTACGAGTAGTGTCATCGAGTCAGTCAACAAGTCGTACATGTAGGCGTTAAAATACCTGAGAGCACAAATACACTGGAATTCTGGACGCGATGAGCAACATATTGTTGAGCCACTCGTTCATCACAAAGAACAAAGTTTTGTTGACTTACATTTTATTATCATCATTGATACCAACTATTATGCGCGAGTCTATGAGATTGTTGTAAAATAATCCAGCTCTGACTTTGGACTTGTTCGATATTATGGTACTGTTCTGCGGATTTTCGGCTATAGCTTCCTGAAAGAAAAGAAATGCTATGCATATCGTGATGAAATAACGCAAGCCTACCTCAGATATATTTTTCTTAAATAACATTAGATTTTCATCGCCATCTCTATCTTGACCAAACAGAATCACATGTGGAACACCCGTCCATGTCCATTCCAAAAGATGAGTCATTTGGAAATGTTTTGCATGCTTATTACCATACCGAGCACGTCCCTTTTATCTTCAAAAGTCACTTGTCGTGCTTCCTTACATGAAAAACATTTCACAA